TATTATGGTGTATAACGAATATTTTAAATGACCTTATGCTGCCCTTGCCCTTTCTTTGATCGGGGTGGGAGGTAAGCAGTTGAGATATAATCATATTTCTGTTTTTAGAGTTTTAATGACATCTCCTTTATTTCTCTCTGGATCTTCAACCTTGTTTTTAACCTCAGCATTTTCGATTTATCTTTCTACTATTTGCTATAGAGTAACAGTATTGAAATTTAGTCTTTTCTATGGTGTAAAGCACTGATTGACTTATGTTTTTGATGATTTCAATTATTAACTAATTTGAGAACAGTGAATGTACAGTATTCACTTTTAATTCTCCTTCAGTTATAAAATTAATTTGCATACTTTGGATTTTTATTTTTAATTGGAAATTAATTCATTTCAAGTAACTCAAATCAGTTTTTTACTTTCAGTGGTGTTCAATCCATGGTACATTAATACTTAAAATTAGGTAGATAAAACAGACTTTTGGTGAGATGACAGAGTAGATATACAGTGTGCTCCTCCTCTTCTCCCATGATCACAGCAAAACTACAACTGAAGTACACAATAACCATCATTGAGAATCACCTAAAGTCTAGCTTAACAGAACTCCTATAACTAAGGATATAACAGAAGAAGACACACCGAAACCTATATGAGGGGTGGAGACAAGATACAGGCTGCTTTCACACCCACTGTGGCAGTTGAGAATCGGGAGGCTGTGGAAGTTCCCCCTGAAGAGTGAAGATTTCCCCTGAGGAGCGAAGGGTCCCAGTCCCACACCACACTCCCTAGCCAAGGGCTCCAGTACTAGGAAGAGAAGTCCCGATAATTTCTGGTTGTGAAAACCAGTAGGGATTTTGGCTGAGTGAGACAGAAGGCTGCTAAGAGTACCAGACATTCCTCTTAAAGGGTCTGCTCAAGGATTTAACTTGCTGACCAACTCGCAGGCTCTGTACTCTAGTGCTGGGGCCGCAGCCAGGAATATACTAGGAGTAACTGACTTGTGTGGCTTCAGGGTGAAAGCTGGACAGGCAGCTTTCTCCCAGGTAGAAATGCTTTTGCTCCCAGGCACAAGTGATTGTTCGTTTATTGATCCCTCTTCCCACCCAGTTGCAGGTGTAGATGGGCTCCATATCTGAATCTCAATCCATCTGGCTAACACTGTTTACCCTTCCCTGGTGATTCCCTAAGACCCTGCCCAACCCAACTTGAGGGCTCACCCAAGCCTCTTCCAGTGGCTTTTCTATATAAATGGCCTGTCTTGGCTCTCAAAGGTTCACAAAACTGAAGCAACAGTATCTGGCCTTGACATGCCCTATATTTCTTGCTAAGTAGCCTCAATCCTGGCACTATGGGAAGCCAGCCTTAATTCACAGTTTAGCCTTTCTCAGGCACTTCCAAGCCCAGCACAGGTGGCAACCATATGCAGATCACTTTGGAGCTTATACCAAGTGGCTCCAGGCAGGTCATATACAACAGTTGACCTTAGCCAGCACCATAACCCCTCCCAAGAGGCCCCAGAACCAACACATTCAGTGGCCAGCTTCAGACCACACCAGAGCACCATACAATTATCTCTACAAATGACACACAGAAAAGGCAGACTTGGCAGGCACCAGAGCCTCACTAAAGCAAATCCTGCTCTTTAGGTTCTGTCCCTGCACGACAGCTCCTCCCCTAGAGTCATGGCCATTCTTCACAACCAATCAGCTGGAGGGTCAGTCCCTTCCATTGACATGAAAACAGCAATCAAGGCTCAACTACAACAGAAGGGCACACAAAACCTACAGA